ACCATATCACAAGTTCAAAATTTTATTTGAATTTTTTTCTTACAGTTAATACTTTGGCAGAATTCCAGTATAATTTGTTTTCTTTGCAAGTCTACGCATTTGCTTCATGAGTTTTAAAACATTATTCTGAGCTTCATCAGACTGCCACGAGATCTGAGGCACAAAAGAGATTAAGGACCCTTGCCCTTTCCTACCTGCAGGATGGCAATTTGGGTCAGATGAAACTTTTTTATTTTATTTTTTTTAGGTAGGCTCTACGCCCAGCGTGAAGCCTAACACCGGGCTTGAACTCACGACCCTGAGATCATGATCTGAGCAGAGATCAGGATTTGAGCAGAGATCAGGTGTCGGACATTTAACCAACTGAGCCACCCAGGCGCCCCCTTTTTCACTTTAAAAAAAAAGATTTTAGTTATTTGAGAGGGAGAGAGAGCACGAGCAGGGGGAGGGGCAGAGGGAGAAGCAGACTCCCTGTTGAGCACGGAGCCCGAAGGTGAAGCCGGCATGGATCCCAGGACCCTGAGATCATGACCTGAGCCAGTCAGACTGCTTAACCGACTGAGCCACCCAGGCGCCCCTCTTTTTTACTTTTTTAAAGGATTTGGGGAGAATGAGACTTATTACTCAATATTTGCATTAGAGCGCTGTTTTGATGTCTCTTAATACTGACCATATGAGAACCCCTCCGGGTCCCAGGAATTTTATGTCTTCTATTCCAAAAGGGCCCCAACTTGGCTGTTAGGAGCACCTACCCGAGGAGGCTGTTTATTTGAATCATTGCTGGTACTCCAATTCTATTTCTGAAAGTATTTTCACCACCAGGGCCATAAAATACTGGCTTTGTGTGTTGAGGGAGCAGGCGGAGGTGTGGACCCTCTGCCCCCGCCCCCAGCACACGTGCCTCCATTCCCCCTGCTCCCCCTTGGAGCGAGTTCAGTTTCACGTCTGCAGGCAGGATGGGAGAGCATTTTCCCACGTCGTGGTCTGGCTGGTGGGCGGCTGAGTAAGGGAAAACCCACCTCCCACAGTCAGACCTGGGTGCCCTCCCAGAGAGACCCTGCACCCCTGGTTTAGCCCAGAGCGCTCTGAGACCAGGTCATCTCGGTCCTGTGCACGGGCCCAGACTTAGCCTCACAGCGTACTTGCCTCTGGGCTGACGGCCCCTCCCAAGAGAGCCTATCAATGGCAGTGGTTCGCCTCTCCACGGCTCTAACCCCATCTCTTACCTAAAGGGAGAGCTGGGAGATCTGACAGCAAGGGTTGGATGGTGTGGTCCCCGGCTGGACAGAGCCAGATAGTCCCTGGGGCCCCCTGCTGGAGACGGACAAGATTTCTTCCTTCTCTCCTAGGTGTGGGGATTGGATTCTGAGTTCTCCACTTCTCGGGTGGAGCTCTCCAGGTGGGTCCAACTGGCCTCCGAGCCTCAAGCCAGAGATCCCCCGCCCCCTCCCGTCAGTCTGCGGATGATCTTTCTTCCTCCTCCTCCTCCTCCTCCTCTCTGTCCCGGCCCCGCTCATCGCCCCTCCCCACACCTGCAGCAGCCTCCCTGGCCCCCTGCCCTCTCTTTTACCCCTTCCACTCCATCCTCCTCCTGACCCTCCGGCCCCAGGGTGATCTGTCCAAAACACAAAACAGACCATCTCTGCTCCCGTCTCAAACTGGTTCTGGATCCCCAGTGCCGTTCGGGTCTGGCTGGCATTCAAGGCCTCCTCATCCTGGCTGGTCTCATGTACCACTCCCTGCCCGTCGCACCTGCGGTCCCCAGCCCCGTCAGTGCCCCTGACAGGCAGCCCGGGCACGTCGGCCACGTGGCTACAGTGCATGGACCAGCCCTCTGTGGCTGCCCATCACGCTGCAGTGGGCCTCCCTGGCTGTCCCCTGCCACCCTGAGGGCCCGACCTGCACACAGCGGGCACCTGAAGCGCTCCCCCCGCCCCCAGAGATGCCGCTGCCGTGGGCCATGGCCGTGGTTTCCCCGGGGTCCCATGGAGTCTGGGCTTTCTGGAAGCACTGCTTTGAGTAGTAGGCCCGAGGGTCTCGCCGTGGGGGCCAGGCTGTGGAGAGAGCCTCCTTTCCCCTTGACCTCCTGTTGCTGGGCCCTTGTGTGCCTTAGAGAGCCCACGGTGGTCCCCATTCTCTGCCGTTCTCCCCCAAATTCACTTTACCCTGGGAACACCTCAGGAACAGTGCCTGACGACCATCCTCGGGGTGGGTGCAGACCCTCTCCCACTTTCTCATTGCCCCCAGTTCAGCAAAGGCGACAGGCTTCAGTGCCTTACTTTGCCCTACTTCCGTGCCCAGATTCCCGCTCGGGACACTCCGCGGTGGCCCGCTGCGTCAGGACCACGCGCTTTGTGTTCAAGGCTTACGCCCGCCTCTGAGGCCGCTCTGAACACTTCCAAGGGGCAATCCACTGAGGGAGCAGGGATGGAGCCCCAGGCTTGGGATGATGTCTGTGGCTCGGCGTCTTGCTGGAGGGGAGGAATGTTCTGGGACTCCAGATGACTGAGAGGCAGAAAGCAGCCAGAGTTCTCACCAGCTTGAGCCCAGCTTGAGCCCAGCTTGAGCCTCACCCCAGACCCCCTCTGGAACTGTCGGGACAGACCCCAACCACCAGGGCACGGGGGCAAGAGCACAAAGAGGCTCCAGGCACATGGATGGAGATGCTGGGGCATAGGCGGCTCTCCAGAGCACCGGCCTTGTCCTCCTCCCTCTCCAGGGCGCAGCAGGAGCAATGCTCAGTCACTCCCGGGTCATTTTGTGAACCGGGACTGGGCAGCTACAGCAGCAAAGCCCTGGGAGCCCTGTGGGGGTGCTCATGCCCCTCATGTGGGGAAGGGCGGTGGGTGCTGCAGCTGCAGACCCAGGAGGATGGGGTTGACCTGGGGGTCTGACACATATGGACGCAGGCCCTGCAAGGGCACTCCTGGGTGGGGGGAACCTTGGGTCTGTGGCCCCAGGTGTTTGGATTGGGGGAGGGGGATGCTCTTTAGCTCAGCGGGAAGGAGATCCTCCTCAGGGGGAGTAGTGCCCAAGGGCTGGGGTGCTGTGTGACCTTGAGGTTGTGTCTCCAGTGCCCGGGGACACAGGAGCCCCCGCTGGACTTCTGCCTGCAGGGGAGCATGGGCTGAGGCTGCGGGAGGGGAGGGTGAGAGGGCCCTCAGGCCTCTTCCAAGTTTGAGTCAACCAGCCTCTCCCACTGCCCAATCCCCCAAAGGCTAATGTGGAGGAAACCTGCCCCACCAGCCACTGACCTGCAGTCCCCTACGGGAACACCTTACTCTCTCTGAGCCAGCAGCCAGGGACCAGCTCCTCTTGGCATTCAAGGCCCCCATGACTTGCTCCCCGCCCCGCCTTCACCGTGTCCTTGCATCAAGAGACCTCTTCCTTCTCCTCTTTCCCCTACCCTCTGCCACCCTGCATTCTTGCCCCCAAGCGTCTGCTCAGGTCACCCCTCACTCTAGTTCCATTAAAGCCCCCTCCCCCATCCCTTCCCTGTGGGCAGTTCCCCTGAGCCCTGCTGTGGGGCCTAGCACTTTAGCTCTATGCCTTCCTCAGGTACTGCCGGTTGTCTCCCCCCCTGGACCTCTCCCTGCTGGACGGGGAGCTGGGTCCCCTTAAAGACAGAGCTGGGTGGGGGCCGGGCAGGCGCCAGGCCACTGTGGGCTCAACTGGGGGGGGGGGGAGGAGTTGGGGATGCCATGTGTGGTACCCCCGCTCCGTCCCCGCAGTCCCCGAGACCAGGGCAGGAGAAAGGATGACAGGAGAGCCGAGTGCAGTCCCTAAAACAGGCTCTTTAATAACATTTATGTCTTCACTGAAGAGCTTCGCTTTTCTCACCCAGCGCCGGGCTGGGGCCGGCCGGGTCCGCTGGACGGCCGGATGGACGGGCACGGGGCGGCGGCGGGGCCGGGTGGCCCCAGGCCCTTGGAAGCAGGGGGAGTGGGAGAGGGAGAAGCAGGTTTCCCGCTGAGCAGGGAGCCCGATGCGGGGCTCGATCCCAGGATCCTGGGATCATGACCTGAGCCAAAGGCAGACGCCCAACAACTGAACCACCCAGGCGCCCCTTGAGTTGTAAGAGTTCTTTATATATCCTGGATAAGTCCATTATCAGATAGATGATTCACAAATATTTTCTCCCATTCTGTGGGTTGTCTTTTCACTTAAAAAAGAAAACAGTTAGTTTAGGGGTGCCTGGGTGGCTCAGTCAGTTAAGTATCTGACTTTGGCTGAGGTTGTGATCTCTGGGTCCTGGGATCAAGCCCCATGTCTGGCTCTGCGCTCATCAGGGAGTCTGCTTCTGCTTCTGCTTCTCCCTCTGCCCCTCCCCCTGCTCGTGCGCTCTCTCTCTCAAATAAATAAATAAATTAAATCTTCAAAAAGATCAGTTAGTTTATGGGGCACCGCGGTGGCTAAGTCAGTTAAGCGCCTGCCTTCGGCTCAGGTCATGATCTCCGGGTCCTGGAATTGAGCCCCACATGGGCTTCCTGCTCAGCAGGGAGTCTGCTTCTCTCTCTCTCTCCCTCTGCCCCTCCCCACCACTTGTTCTCATCCTCTCTCAAATAAATAAAATCTTTAAAAAAATTAAAAAATCGGGGCGTCTGGGTGGCTCAGTCTAACATTAAGCGTCTGCCTTCAGCTCGGGTCGTGATCCCAGGGTCCTGGGATCGAGGCCCACATCAGGCTCCCTGTTCCGCGGGGAAGCCTGCTTCTCCCTCTCCTACTCCCCCTGCTTGTGTTCCCTCTCTCGCTGTGTCTCTCTCTGTCAAATAAATAAATAAAATCTTTAAAAAAAATA